GGCGCCACCAGCCACTCCCATCGCTTGTCTGAATGCAATGAAGGGATCAGCGATGCTAATAAGGGGGAATAGTATGAGACAGGCAGCGATGAAGTCCGCGCTATCTTTGAGCAGTACGGCGAAGTCAAAACATTCTTCGACCTCATTGCCAGCCGCGGCATGGTGTTCGTAACCTTCGTGAGATCTCTCAGCATGATCTGCACTGCCACGCTCTGACACGCACATCAACGCCCTTCAGTACGACATAAGATCAGCAGAAAACGCGCACGAGCATCTCCAGGGCTCGGATATTGCCGGTCGGCCAATCGACGTGCATTATTCGCTCCCACGCGATGACACGGGCAGAGGTGCCGCTGGTAGCGACAAGAACCAGGAACTGCAGGGTGCCATAGTGGTTGTGCTTCGTAACTCGGCGAGCGGCCAGCCCATCAACGAAGATGCCCTGCGCATGACGTTCCAACAGTTCGGGGAGTTGAAGTCCATTCGCCAGTCCAGTACAGAGTAAGCTATTCGACATAGCGAACTTGAATGCGCGCTCATGATCTGACCATCCCTTCGCAGCTCTGCATATGTCGAGTTCTACGACATGCGTCATGCCGAAGATGCATGCAACCGTATGAGTCACCAGACTCTACAGGATGGTATCATGGAAATCTCGCTTGCATGGACCGAAGATCCTCCTATGCGTCGTGATGGTGGTCCACGCCCAGAATGGGATGATGCTCCCCGCGGACGCGGACGTGGGCGCGGTAGAGGGCGCGGTGGTCGTGGAGGGCACTATGACGATTGGGATGAAGGGTACGGCGGAGGTGGACGCGGTGGTCGTGGACGAGGGCGCTACGACGACGACGACGGATATGGTGGTCGTGGTGGTCGTGGCGGCCGCGGTCGAGGACGTGGCGGGTATCACGACGACCGCGATAGTGGCTACGGCAGCGGCGGGTACGGTGGGCCGCCATCGTCGACGCAAAGCTCATTCAACGCCGGCTATGGCCCACCTCCACAAGCACCAGCTCCTACGGCTACGAGCGATGATCGCCTTGAGGCGGCACGCAAGGTGCAGGCACTTCTTCAAGCTCTCAAGGGACCGCAAGCTGCTGCTCCTGCACCTGCACCAGTGGCACCGCCGCCTTACGGTTATACCCCGACGCCTCCACAGATGACGACTCAGCAGTCTCAGCCGCAATACCCAAGCTACAATTCAATGCCACCTCAAGTTCCCGCACCAGCGTCTGCGCCTGTGCATCAGCCTGCTGTCACGCCCCAACAAGGAGCTCTGCCAGCAGGGTTACCACCAAACCTCCTTGCTTTGCTCCAACAAACCCAGGGAGCAGCTAATACCGGATCAACACCTCCGCCGGCGTATGCAGGATATCAATCTTCACAGCAACCGCAGGGCGGATATCCGGCCAACCTAATGAACTATCTGGTGAGTATCTCGGTGACGCCTCAAGCGTAGAAGACGCTGACGCACCTTCTACAGCCGAAGTAGGCGGAAGGATATAATCAATCCAGAGTGTCTTGTGTGCGGCGTGTGATGCAGGTTATCGTTGCGATCAATCGGCTTGATGAATACTAGACTTTTTTCGTGTTGCTGACTAACATGACATTCTTATCACCCTTGCTTCTCGTCACACGCATCTGAAAGAGGCAACGGTAAAACTTGCCATTATGAAACCGTAGCGTAGCAATGGTGCAAGATGTAAGAGCAACTCTGAGATATAAGGACGGATGGAGAGTGAACGAATCGACGTGTGCGAGTAAGACGAAGATGGGAGAAAGCTTGCGGGGTAGATCAATGTACATATGGTGAGGAGGTGAGCGGTAGGTCCGAACATGCGAGAGGATGCAGTAGTGCGAAGTTACTTATACAGAGAGCAGTCATTTGAATGATCAATCCATACGATAATCGTGCTGTCAGGCCACTGTTGGTGCAGACGGCCGTCTGGGCGGTAAAGGCGGTGGCTTGTGTGATGGCGTAGGCGTCACGCTTCCGCTCGTCGGAGAGCGTACTTGCGGCACCTCTGGCGCCGATGAACTCGAGCCGACGACTGGGATCGGGCTTGGGCTTTCAGCACTCGGCCTCGGACTTGCAGTACGTATAGGCTTTGGGCTTTCGGAAGGCGGTAAACCAGGACTGGCCGTGGGCGGCAGGCCGGGACTGGGGCCGGGACTGCCGTTCATGCGCGATTGACTGGAGCCCGAATTACGGCGGGCCTTGTCGTCCTTGTTCGCGATGAACTTCAGAGCTGCGGTTGCGAGGCTAGCTGCGTCAAACAAGCTCGGCTTGCGCTCCTGTTGTTGTTGCGGCTGTGGCTGCTCGGAGGCCACCGACGAGTTCGACGCGCCGCGTGAGCGGGGAGGAAGGGGCGGCGGTAACGAGAGAGCGGGAGGCTCGGGTGCATCGGATAGCACTGGGGTCTCATTGTGCGTACTTGGCTCTCCGCCGTGCTCATGCCCGTCCTGCGAAGATGCCGCCTTTACAGACTCGCCATCCTGTGAGTGAGCGGAGGACTCGCGTTTCCCCCACAGACCGAGTACTGCACCACTAAGCCCCGCTGCGCGACCACGATCAGGGGAGGTAGACGGCGGAGGCGTTGACGGTGCCGCGACGTGGCCCATGCTCTGGACGTCGCCCTTGTGCTTCGCATGGATGCCGGGGATCATCATCCCGCCCGCGCGCTGCGGCTGCGTCCGCACCGGCACCGAGATTGGCTTGATCTCGTCTTCGTCAGGCGCAACGTAGGAGTTCTGCGAAGCCGTACGAACGGCCGGGTCGGAAGACGCCTTGGTGGGCGGAGATGGAACCTTCTGCGGGACGGCATCATTCGATGACGCCGGCGCGCGCTCTGTGATCGCAGGGGTCGGCGGGACGATAACGGTTTGCGGCACCTCCACAGGGCTCAGGGTCGGCGGGGCAGGTGATGCCGCCTTGATCGACGCCGGGCCTACAACCGTGACATCGGAGCGGGGGCGAGGGGAAAGCTCAGGTGGTGGCGAAGCGAAGTGAGCACGACGTTCCTGCATAGAGCTAGAGCTTGAACTTTCTGGCTGCAGAACTTCTGCACTAGCCCGAGCAGACGGCGCTGGGCTGAGATCGCGCGCGCTACGTTGGCTGTGTATGCTACGCCTGTCCAGGGATAGTCGGCTGTGGGTGCTGCCCTCGTCGCTGCTGACATCATCGTGATTGGCGTTGTACTGTTCCTTGAACCGACGAGCCTCGGTGTCCTGGCCGGCGCCGTCACCGTTCTCTCCTTGCACGCCGAGGTGGTCGGACTTGTTATTGTTCCAATTCATCGTCCATTTGCGCCCCGCGTTGCGCTCTGCAGCCTTCGCCTTGATTGTAGCGAAAAGCGAATTAGCGCCAGTGCTCGCCTTGCTCTTGCTGCTTTTCCCACTCTTCCCCGACTTGACCGATACCGAGTCTGCGGAGGGTAATGTCGCGAGATGTTCCGAGGAAGCGGCAGGTGAAGGCGACGGCGAGCGCGAACCACCATTCTTCTTGCGTGCGAAGAGCGAGTGCTTCTTCTTCCCCGAACCGTTCGTATGGACGCTCGTAGTAGAGTAGGGCGAATGGTGTACCTGAGACCGAGGGGGCGAGGCGGGAGGCGACTCGGTGATAGGTTCGTTTACGAATGGCGGGGTACTTGGATGATGGGTTTCATCAGCGCTCTTCTTGGACGTGTGGTGTAACCAATGATGCTTCGACTTGGGCGAGTCAAGGTCACCGTTGATGGTTCGAGCGCGGGAGGATAGCGGCGGCACGGGCTCTTCCGCCTGAGTCGTACCGAATTCCTCGTCGACCTCCCCTGTAGAATGAGAACGGTGCACCTGGACGGTCTCGCCATTGACATCAAGATAGTGTTCGCTGCTCGGAGATGTAGATCGCGCGTCTCCTTCGCCTTCCGGTGCAGTCGGTGATGTACCCTTCCGCTTCTCCCGCTCCTCCCTCTTCGCGTCGGCATAGATGCCGCCACGATGCGAGATATGGGTGGTGTCAAAGTACGCGATGTCATCCATATTAGGCAAGACTATGGACTCGAGAATCTGAGCTCTGTGTGAGGACGGCTCTCAGATAGAATGTGGATGAAATAGCGCGTACCACTTCTCGCAGCCTCGCCTCGATGGAATGGAGGATCATCGTCCATGTAACTTGCCGATCGCTCACGACCGGTTCGACGGAGAGGACCATCTTGGGCATTTGTGTGAAGGCATACCATATACGGTTGCTGGGTGGCCTTTTAACACGAATGACGGCGTTTCCCTCGAGCTCCCGGAGAACGACAGCCAGAACGAGCTTGACGTTATACGGTTTGAACCGACTGCCGAACGAGACTGTAGCGACGGTCTCGACCGTGATGCGCATTTCGCCCTTGTACTTGACATTAAGCTCGAGCGCAGCGTCGCCTTCCTTCGTAAGCTCCTTGAGCATAGGCTTGGAGAACAAGATAGGCGTATTGCCCATATTGGCTTCAGTGACGACGATCTCAGCCAGGAACGCAGGGCGCTTGACCTTGGCGAGCTTCTTCATGAGACGGCCAATGATGTATTGCTCGAGCGCAGCGGTATTGTAGTACGAGTAGAAAATACGGCCGATGAGCGCGTTGAGCCAGCGCATGGGGATCGTGTCGGGTTGCTCGTCAAGCTGGTGCACGAGCGAATCCATGTCGTCCGGCGAGAATACGGGTTGTAATGGCTGGAGAGGCGACGTCTCCGGCGAATGATCTGACGCGTGAACGAGCGCCAGATACCAGTCCTCCATGTCGCAGTTGTTCTTTACGAAGATGAACCACGGCGTGGAGGGGTCGAGGGCCTCTTCCCGGGCCGCCTCGCGTTTCCGCTGCTCCTCCTGCAGGCGCAGACGTTCGCGCTCTCTCTTCTTTGGATTTCCACCACTGCGTTCCTCCGCGATGCGCTCGATATCGGCCTCGGATGAGCGCATCTGTTTCGTCACCGATGGCATGGCGCCCTTGGGGCCGGACGAGGGGTCTGCCTTTGGACGCAGGCAGATCGCGTTGCGTTTGGAGAAGAGTTCGCCGTCGGGGAGGCCTTCGGGGAAGACGACGACGTCGTGGCTGCCGAGCTCGATGACGGAGGAGCACTCGCTCATGGCCTCGTCCTCGTACAGGTACAGCACCTTGCCCTTGAGCACAACATACCAGTTGTCTCTCGGCCGCGACCGCTTGGGATCCTTCGAGCGCGAGTCCAGCAGCGACTTGAGCAGCGAATAATTCCCGCCCTCTGCCGCCGTCTCCTCGAACGTACGCCGGACGGTCAGCCACGCTTTGCGGTACTTGGCCGCCTGAGCCTGGGCCTGGGCCTTCGCCGTGCCCTCCTTGCCGTCATCCTCTCCTTCCCCCTCCACAGAGCGCCTCTTCGCACTCGTCTCCTCCACATTGACCGGCACAGACGTGTAGATCGCGTAGCAGACGGCGGCGATGAGGCACAGCGGAATAAATGTGAATCCGCCGAGAACGTAGGCGTACACGAGCGCCCTGAGTCCCATGCTGCCAGTCACACCCTCTTCAAGGTGGCGCCGAGAATGACAGAGAAGTGGATGGTCAAAGTTGCGCGTAAAGCCTTGGGGTGCTCAGCTCGAGCAGGCCCGCCAACACACGTGCCGATGGCTCAATGACGCGGAGTTCTTGCCGCCGCGGAATGGTTCACCAATCTGGCTTCTTTCGTTTCACACAGTCGGCACGCACTCAAAGACAAAGACAGTGGTAGATAGTATGCATAAGATAAGCCACAGCAAAGCGACAAACACGACAACATATGAGAGACGACAGGATTCGAACAGCAACAACAGCAACACTACTACCCTCACATCTCCCGCGCATCACCTCCCTGTGGCGGATCGCCGCCTCCGTTGTGACAGTGAACGTGATGCCAGGGTACGACGTGCTTGTTCCTCATGAGTAGGCGGCACTGCACGCCAGTGCCCGCCAGAGTACTCCCATCGCCTGATAGAAGCACCGATCCCGCGTTTCGGGTGAACCAATGGAGGGAACACGTCGTTCACCGTGGGCTGTGCGGGCACACATAGGCGATCACCGAATCCCGCATCCTGCAGAGGAACGAAACACCGTCTCTGCGAAGATGGTATTGGGTCATCCGGACAGGGCGTCACAACGATTGTTGGGAGAGCTTCGCTACTCTCCGGTGAAGATGCGCCGGTCGGCTAGACATGGAAACGTTTGATTAGCTTCGGCATGATATTGGGGGATACAACACGGAGTCGCGGACGTACAGAGGATGGCAGGTCCTGGGCGCCTGCTTCGGGTGTCAAGGACGGAGACGGTTCTCGACTCTCCTCCTGACACATCTTTATGAGCACCGCATCCACATAGGAAACGTCAGATCACATACCGATACCGCGCGCCCGAACTGAAGTTCGGCATGGAACTTTGCGTTCCTCTCGAATTCACTGCAGACCGTTCTGTGTACCGCCCCCAATGCACTCTCGCACGCTCCTGCAACTGCCCGCCATGGTAACTGTGGCACTCGTGGCGGCTCCGGAAGAAGCGCCCGCATCGCCTCGAGGTTCAGCGTCTGATGAGTCGCCGTCAGCTGCTGACTACTTGATACAAACGCGGGGTACGCACGATACTATCGTCGTCTACGTCCACTACGGACGCCACGGGTACGCGTGATACTATAGACCTGAACATTGAGATAGATGATTGGAAGATGGCGCTGCCGTTCCGAACGAAGTCGCGGTTTTGTATTCAGAGAGGAGGGCAGACAAGACGCGAGACAGGGCTTTCGCGGATAGGTGGGTGAGACAAACGAGCGCGCCGCCTATCGTCGAGCCTCTGGCCCCTGAAGTCCTGAACCCACGCTCAAGCCGACAGTGCCGCTGTCGTCTTCGCAGTGTCGGAAAGAGTGCAGGCGAGAAGGGGTCAGAGAGGAGCGCGAAAAGACCAGAAGCAAGCTTGAAGCTACAGCCCGCCCGGGTGTCAGGGCATCCGCGTCCCGAGTCGTAGTTCACGTGTGCGCACACGCCGTACTGCGTCATATTTCAGGTTGGGCGGCTTCCTCGCCTGGTCACCACGAAAACGGCGAGGATCTGCGCCAGCACTCTGAGTACGACAGGCGCGCATTCTGCACGAGACGCCAAGTGCATGATAGACAAGAGGTAAGTAAGAGGACAGTGGAGATAGGAGCGGCGTGTTTCGTTTGACAGTAATCGGATCACGCGCGGGCTTCGCGGGCCACAGCCGGCTCAGGACAGTCTGGCAGAACGTTCACGCATATCGTGATAGATCTATGTATTTCAATAAGCGTTGGCATGTCGGCCTCTGCCGTATACCGTCACAACTTCCTGATTGCTAGCATGAGAGGCCCACTCGATAGAGATTCCGCGATGCCGATGACAACCGCCGCATTGAAGCACGAGTCTGTTGATTGTACGGCAGGTCAAATGCACCTAGGTGTCATCCATCACCTAGCATCTGATCGGTCGGTCCTATTATTTGT